TTCTTTTTGCTTATCCTAGCTTATATATCTTGTTGTATTTCATACTTGCTAGGATAACTTGTTAATAATTTTAATTGGCATTTAATCGGATTAGATTAGCATAAGACCCTAATCACCCCCCTCTAGGGTCTAACATTGGTGTGTCCTGTTTAAGACTTAGAAACCTGTGTGTATATTGACTTAGAAAGCGAGAAGAGTTGGGATGAGGATGTTAATGTTCATGTGATCGGATAAGACTGTTGATGTATCTTCCAGACTAGAACTAGTGAACCGTTTCGCACTGGGGTTAGTTTGTTGGGCCAAGTGAACCGTTTCGCACTTGGTTAGTAAAATTGTTTCGTCACCCGAGTTTTGCTTGAGTTCGAACCAGGCTGAAATCGGATTGCGTGTAGTCCTCTCACCGAACCGTTTCGCGGGTTTGGATGCACGTAGGGGATTTGTGAACAGTCAGTTATCCAGTGATATGAGCGTTGGCTCTGTATGAGATGTGACCAGTGACTTATTATAGAATGGCTAGTTACATGACCTCGTTTCTTGGCTAGATATGAGTTCTTGTGAGATGTAGGCTAGTTGTGTTTCTCTTCGTACATAGATCGGGATTAATATTTAATTATTTACAATTCGAGATATATGGTATATACAGGAGGGTTTCCTTGTTTGGATTATTTCGCTCGACGTACTACGTCTCGAGTTGTAGATTTTTAAGTATTAATTCCATCTAGTGTATGACTCTGTACTTGGATGATTATTCTGATCACTAGCTGCATGATCGACTTGTTACTTGGTTGATTTCCTGAGATTTATTATGATTATTCTATTCTAGTAGTAAATTATATTCATAATATTAGTATTTCAGTTGTATATTTTCATTGTTATTACCATTATTTGCATTGGTCGCACGACCGTTCTATTCTTTCTTTCGGGATCTTGCCGTGCGCCATGCACCTGACGTACACCTGTTTTCTCTGGTGTACGTCAGACTTAGAAGAAGAACATGTTCAGCTTGGAGATGCGCCAGAGCCGAGTATTCTCAGCAGGAGTGTCTTGTAGACGAAGCAGGAGAAGAGTTGAAGCTCAGTTATTCCTTTCAGTTTATTTTCGTAGCATTTCCTTTTCCGCATGATCATTGTATTTTATATTCTCTAGTATTTCGTTCAGATAGTTTGTATAAGGGCATGTTTGGCCCGAATATTATGTCTGGATGATCATTTCAGTTGTGATATGTATCTTTTGGTTCTGAGTTGTTTATTATATTCTCATTACTATGATCGGGGACCTGTGCCTTCGTTTGTATTTCTTGACGCTTAGCGTATTAGATTGAGAAGACGGAGTCTAGCACTTATCTCTTCTCAGTTTAATACGTCGCGGGCTTGCTCGCGTCCCAATTCTCTGGTATTTTAGGAAGTGGGGCGTGACAGAAGTAATGCCATTGCCTACAAATACAACACAATGAATGGGTTAGCATTCGAGAAAGATATAATAAATTGATAGCAACAAGACAACAATAGAGAATATGAAGTGTACATACCGATTGATGATGTGATGCACTAGGAATGGATGATATGGTGGGTTGACTAGTGAAATTCCTAATACACTTTGGGTTTTCAATTATCCTCATCATCGCTTTTTGTCGTAATGATCGAGACTTCATCTCAATAAAAATGGGGTGCAAGGATTCCTCTTTTATTTCACACTTGAGCTCCCCCACTAGTTCATAAAACCAAACCTAAAAAAAACAAATTTAGTTACAACTAGTAGAACATATGCAAATAAAATTATATAATTTTATTAAAACTCACCACCAATACTGAGGCAAACCCGCCCATGTATCCGGCTCATGACCTCTCTCCTACGGCTCTCTTTATGATGGACAACTTTGCCTTACTCATCTCCTTATGCAGTAGATCATACACGGCACCAGCCCAATTATAAGAACGAAGAGCAAGTAAATTGTCCGCATATCTAAATGCCCATAATGGACATGAGTTAGAGGGCTGAGGGCATAATACAAATCCAATAATAAAAGCCACAAGTAATTTCACACATGCTATGTGGTTGGAGTCTGCCAACTCCACAATCAAATCCACCATCCTTTTGCGTGTGGCCCACACTTTCTTCTTATCTTTATTTTCATCCCTCTTGTTGACTTTCCTCTTCTTCCTCTTACTGGCCTTCTTCTCCTCCTCCTTCTCTGTTTGGGTCTTTTTACAATACACATATGCAGTATATATAGTATTAGGCGCTCGACCATCCATTACAACCCTATTTCCAGTCTTCGGCAATCCGGTTATTTCATGCACATCTAGAACACTGAACACAATATCCTTTCCCCCAATCCTGAATGAGCTATGCTCTGGATTAAATGCATGAAGCAAGCAATCAACTGCAACTTGTTCATTAGGTATAGCAGGTAGATTAATGAAGTGGAAAAAAGGGGTTTGACGGAGGGCTTCATAATGATTATTATTTAGCAAAGGCCTTAGACGATTATTCACCAAATCACGAAATACGCCAATATTTGAAGGTAATCTTAACTCTGCAACATTTTTCCTACAAAAAGAAGAATATATCAATCAAAACGAATAGCCCTTATAAATGCAAAAATTAAGAGATTGTAAAGCAAAGTGATAAAGCATTAAGAACTGCATTAAGAAAAGAAGAAGGTAATGCATGGTCAGACTTAACTGGAAATTGGTATTATAGGGTATATTTAGCATGAAAAGGTAATGAAACAACAAATTAACCCAAGCAAGAATGACAAATTTGCTGAGAATTGAAGTCTACAGTATCAATTATACAAGAAAGCTATAAGCTGTCAACAGAAGTTGATAGAAGATTCTAGAATAGACTTGACTTTAAACTATAAGTTGGTGCAGAATTCCTTTGAACCAAATTAACCGGCAGATATACCAAAATTTTGTATATCATCTTTGAGCTTACAACATGAAGAATCAAGTCCTCAAATTTCACCTTGACAATTACAAAAAAAAAACAAAAAACCAAGTAACTAAGCTAAGATGATATCTTTCTCAAAAATACAATATAAAAGGTAAGATGATATGATTTGGTTTAAGGAACCAGGATCAGCTTCGCCTACAGGCCTTAATAAGACAAAGAACAAACAGAACCATCAGTTCCTAGAAGCCTTAAGTCAGTTAGTTTAAACTAGACTAACAGTTTTTAACTTAAAATACAATAAACACCAAAAATAAGTCAAAGCATGGACAAGAAGCATTTTTATACAGCTAAAGTTGATAATGAAGGAGTTGCTCATGTAAACTTTTATCAATATATTCAACTATTCACATGCTAATATCTATTGTTTAATTCCTCTATTACCAACTTAATATCTACTGTTTCATTGTTGTAGGATAAAAATCAACTATTGTAGCAGAACACTAGTTATGTTGAAGTTTTCTCCTGATGCTCTTATTTATCATTCGTATGTATCAGACGTATCTAGGGATCTAGGGATCCAAATCTTCAAATTCAATTTCATTTACAAGTAAAAACATAAGAAATTATTAACATAACAATAATTTCATATAAATTAAAATTTACTTACTTAGTAGCCTTAGACGTCGATTGGGAAGAATCCCTCGATTTACTTCTGCTTGACATCTTTGACAACCTATTGACAAATATTTCAAAAAATACAATATAATTATGAATATCCCAGCGGCAGGTTGGAATCCTTTTATAAATAATGATTTCAACACCAAGCTATCATAGGTGTTAAACCTTAGATGTTCGAGAGATTACTATGATATTAGTACATTCTTATCTTTCGGGCCCTTTCAACAATTTATACGTGCAAGTTGCATGTGATCAAAACTACAACAATGAGCTTAATTTCGATCAAAAGAAAGTGTTCTTCTTTTGGAACTTTAATTAGGTCAGCCAAACAATGGATAAATTATTAGAACTCACCGATGTAAATAAGAGTGAAGATACTAAACGAACTTTCAATGTACGAAACAATCCACAGTCCCACGATGACCTAAATTATACCAAACATCAACATAATTAGGTCAAGAAATCATCCATTTCCATAAATTAATTTAAAAAAAGAGCTTAATCACACTTGCAGGAAAACCTTTCGATCTCTCCCAACTCCAATATCTCTCGCTACAGACAACACCGATTAATCCAAGCCCTAACTCTCTCCGTCGCCTTCTCTACAACCTCATTCGAAAAATAAAAACACTCAGTGATATGAGGAACTTGCGATGAAAATCGATGATCTAGGGGCTTAATTTCAAGTATTAGAGAGGAAAAAGGGAAGATTCGTGTGTTACCCGCTTTCAGACCCGTGCAGCTGCCGTCCGTCGTCGCTCCAAATGTCCTCCGCTTTCAGCCCCGTGCAGCCGCCGTCCGTCGTCGCTCACCGTCGAACCAACTCCCTTCGCCGCTGCTGGTGATCCTCAACCAGAAATCTCTTCATCGGAACCCTAAACTCTCCTGGACTCTTTGAGAAAGTGAAACGGAAGAGAGAGGGAAGAGAGAGAGAGAGAGGGGATGAGTTATATTTGGGGATGGGGTAGTTTAGGAATTTTTAATTTATTGGGTAAATACAGTACATAAAATGGGTGTATTATACATGTTAGGTTTAAAAATAAGTGAGATGAGATACAGTGGGTCTATTGGTGTTTGAAAAAATGAGTGAGTTTTAAAATAAGTTCTGGTAAAACTTTGGGTTAAAAGAGATTTTTCCCTTAATTTTTTAATATATGCGTCAGATTTGCTAGTGTTTTCCGCCTATTTTTAGTGAAAAATATTTTTTGTAAAATTGTACAGTTTTTTGTACTTGACAAAAAACTTTTCTGTAAATTTAATGTTGAATTAAACACGGTTTATAAAAATCTACAGAAATCTATTATTTACGATAACGTGGTTACGTTTCGAGGTGTTTTCTCAAAACTTTTCATAAATAGGTGACCAAACACCCCCAACAGATATTTTGAATATCATCCGCTTTCTTCAAAATCCAGTGGATGGTCTTGATCATTCCACACTCCACACGCTTATTAGGCGCATATCTACCCCCATTCCGCTAGCATTCTCCACATCCAATCTAAAATCCTCGCAAAAAAATCCCCAAATTCTCCAAACTCTAGGGTTACGAAAACTTAATCCAGTCAAATTCCTCCTTACTCTCCATCCTATAATGGGCGAACCATGCCCAATCCTGTAACCACCCCGCGCCCTAGACGAGGACGAGCAGCCCGCGCTCAGCCGCCGCCGATCGCGGCCGATCAGCCCGCTCGAAGACCTAGAGGTCGGCCGAGGAAGAACCAGGCTGGAGCTTTGAATCGAGTGAGGACCAGAGCTGAGGCTGCGAAAGCGAGGGTAAATTTGGAGGAAGAAGAGGAGGAGGTTGTTGTGATCGAAGAGGAGGAGATAAAAATGGTGAAGGATAGCGGAGGAGGCTCTAATAGGAAAGAGGAAGAAGGGACGAATAGCCCTTTTCCTGACACGGTATAATTTTTTTGCTCAAGTTTTGTTCTTGGATTGTTTTCTTGATAGGATTAGTGATTAAAGCTACGATTTTGAATGTATATTTGTTTTTTCTCAGTTTCACTTTGTTGATGCTGTTCTTTTGGCGGAAATTTGAATATTTCATAATATCTTCACCTTAGAAGCACTATATATTAATGATTTTGTACTAACATTTTGTTAGAATCAATTTAGTAGCATATGGATTAAATGGGGACTCAATTGTGGGTTTATAAGAGGTTTAGGGGTTTGGATTCCGTCCCTCTTAATAACTAGATCTTATGGGTGAGTTCTCTTATGTTTCTTACGGATATCATCGGAGCCAACCCCATCTTCCCAGTTGCAGCGGGCAGTTTAGGGGGTGATTTCTGCGTTGCAGTATTCACCCTGGACTAGTCTAGTGCGAAGGCATAACATTAGATTGCAGTGTTCGACCAGGACTATTCTAGTGCAAAACTACTACAGATAGGAACCGGAGCTTGAGAACCGAGGTGGTGTGTAGGGTTCATTTAGTCCCACATTGACTAAATGAGGAACCAATTGTGGGTTTATAAGAGATTTGGGTTTTCTCCCTCTAACAACTAGTGTTTAGGGGCGAGTTCTCCTAGGTTTCTTATTTATTATTGGGTTCTTTAGGGGATTTCATTTTCTTCTGTATCACTTTATTGATGCTGTTCTTTTGGGGAAAAATGGGATATTTTCTTTGTTCATTAATAGTTTCACTTTGCGAGTGCTATGCTATCGATGCTTTCATGCTTTATTTGGCCTAAGTAGTGATTGTATTTGATGTCAAAAGCTCAGTGTCACAAATTTTTTGGGATTTAGTTGTCAATATCATTTTGACACACACTTTGGAAAACATCAAGTGTGTATGAGCTTAAAAATGTACTTATTAATTAGGCCTTATTTGAAGTATCTTTTGTAGGATTCAATGTTTTGTCAAGACTAAAGAGTCCCTAGATCATGGTCCATGAATGTATGCTGCTGTTATTTCTTTTCTCGGTGGTTCCATTTTGTTCAGCATCACTTTGTTTATGCTGTTGGGTATTTATATGCCATGGTTTAATGATAATTTCACTCAGGAGCACTATGTTATCGATATTATTTTGTGCATCATTTGACTAAACATTGCTTCTATTTGATGTCAGTAACTCTTTGTCAAAGTACCTTTTTGCAATTTAGTTATTGGCACCATTTTGGCAAGTGTTCGCTTATGACTTACATTTAGTTGCATTTAAAGCTGAGGAAAGTGAATGTTCCATATTTGAGAAAAGAGAACTCTTTCCTTCAATGACCTCCTTTTTCTTTTTGTTGATTTTGCTACATTCTCACTACTGGAGTTACGTATTTGAATTTTCTTTTTTTTCTTTGAATAAATCATTATTCAGCAATTTGGACTTGTTTATTTACCAAGTTGATTAATTTGCCTCTCTTTGTATCAGATTTACTGTTTCCATTTGAATTGTTATTTATAATTTCTTTATTTGGACCATTGTATAAACCTGAATTTTATGAGTAACTATTCTTTTCTATCTGACTGTTGATCTTCATCGACTGTTCATAAATTTCTTTCTATGTAACTTAGTGGTTTGCTTCCGTATTTAACAGCAATTTGTTGCCATCGGAAGCAATATGTTTATTTCAAAATTTCTGCTGGCACCGACTTTGGTATCCTTTTCACCATATGTCAAGTTCCAATCTCTCTGTGAGCAACTACCATATCTTTGTCGTCTGTCAAGGAGTTCATTTGTCTACCTCCTTCACCTGTAATCCTTTGATACATGTCAGCAATAATCAATCCCTGGTCCAATTATCAGACGCGTGTCAATCTCTGCTTAACCAGATTAATATGTCTAACTTTCTCTCAACAACATCCATTTCTTATCCTACCTTCTAGCATGTTGTCCCGAACAATCTAACAGAGTTACATTTCTACTTATTGGACACTTAAAATAAATTATTCTAAAAATTCGATCACCGGGATCCATAGTGAGTTTTTTGGTGAACTTTGAAAAGCATCCAGAAGTTATTACTTTCTTGCTCTTTTTTTAGCTCAATTGTGTTATTGTTAGTAATACCACCACTACAACAGACACAGACAAACTGTGGTACTCCTCTTCACCTTAGTTATAGTTGAATGCTAGTTTTTGTTCTGGGTTTAATTTTATTATGATGCATCTTTTTCAGCATTCAATAAAGGCCTAGTTTTATTATCTTTTTTTTTCCATTTAGGTTTCCTTCTTTTTGACGATAAAACATGTTCATTGTGATTTGAGATGTCAGTTAATTTTCTTTATATTTAGGTCCAAGTTGGAGGATCTCCTCTATATAAGGTTGATAGAAAGTTAGGAAAAGGTGGATTTGGTCAAGTTTTCGTTGGTCGCCGTGTGTCTGGAGGCAGTGAGCGTGCAACAGGCTCGGGTGCTCTGGAGGTGTTCTCTACTCCGATGGCTTTAGTTTGTTTATTATTATTTCTTATATAAAAGTTTTTATTTTCCTATAATATAAAACGTCTTCCTGAGAGATTTAACTTGGTTAAATATCTTTGTTTTTCAGGTTGCCCTAAAGTTTGAGCATAGGAACAGTAAAGGCTGTAATTATGGTCCTCCATATGAATGGCAAGTTTACAGGTACACTTTCCACCATCTAGTATACTTCATGGCCTCATTTCGTTCAACTGATGTAATGTTTGCTGTTTCAATTCTTCTTGACAGTGCACTTGGTGGTAGCCATGGGGTCCCAAGGGTACACTATAAAGGGCGGCAAGGTGACTATTATATTATGGTATGATCTCAATTTCATCAGATGTGTTATTGACTACATTTGAAGAACTTTGTTTTTATGTGTTCACCTAAGTTGATAATACTGCACTACTGTATCGAGCTAGTGATCTTCCATTCATGTTGCAGGTTATGGATATGCTTGGTCCGAGTTTGTGGGATGCATGGAATACTTCAGGTCAAACGTGAGTATCTTGCTAGTGTGGTGCTTGTCCCTTATGATGTTAATTTCATGGAAGCCATGTACTTCTGTCATTTCAACTGCATCAGGAACTTTCTAGAAAATACCATTTGATCTCAAATGGGGCAGCTATGTGGGGCTGATGTGCTAAGACTTATTAATGACATTTGATTTCTCAGTACTTTTGACTGAATTCACTTGCAGTCATTGTAGAAAATATGTTGCAGCACCCAATTTGCTATCATTAGTAGCCTAATGGAGAAATTTTGCATGACTGAACATGTTGTCAACCAATCCTTATGCCTGCCGTTCGAGTACTCTTCCCCATAATTTATGGCTATATCCCATACTTCAGAGGAAGAAAAATTGCAATCACCAATTGGACTAACTTCAGTTTTTTATGAACTGAATGGTTCCATTTAATTATGACACACACATGTTCCTTGAGTGGTTTGTGTATCATTGCGGGCATTATACCTATATGACTTGTCTTTACTTGCATAGCTGATTCCTTTGCTGCTTGTCTTAATCTATCAAACTTGTATCAGTAGGAAGATCATGGGAGATAATGTCCTTAAATCTTGATCATGATTCTGGTGAAGCACAAATATTAGTTGAACAAGTAATAAGCTCACCAAATCGGCTGTGCAGATATTTCTGTAGTTACTTGCCCTGGTCAGCTTCATCTCTTCTGAATTCCTTTCTTAGTAAAAGTTTTTTTGAGATAAAGACTACATACGTGCAAGCAGCATAGGTACAGTGATAGATTCAAACCTTTAATCTACTTTGTTCATGTGGATAAGCTTATGAAAATGTTTTTTAGCATATAAACATCAATTGATATGTAGGAAATTTGTGGGGATAAAAAAATCACTAAAAATGTGATTCGAATTATTTTTTTTGTAATTGTCACCTTGAGATTCATTTTCCTTACGTGATCAAATTCTTTATGGAATATATAGGATGACTTTTGAAATGGTCTCTTGCATAGCCGTTGAGTCTATCTCAATCCTTGAGAAGATGCATTCGAAAGGGTAAGAATATCAATATCATTTTTGTCCTCCAATTATAGATGCCTTAATTATTGTTTACAGAAGATTTTCTTCTACTGCTTATTTTTTTGATGGCGTTTTTGTAACATGCCTACAATTAGATATGTTCATGGTGATGTAAAACCTGAGAACTTCTTACTTGGTCAACCGTCAACACCTCAAGAGAAAAAGCTATATCTTGTTGACCTAGGACTTGGTGAGAGTTTTGATAACTGCAACTTGTAAAATGAGGGCATTGTGTGAAATGACCCATTATGCATACTGAAGATGTGATTTGTTTTTAACTGATTGACTTTGCAGCAACAAAATGGAAAGATACTGCGAGTGGCCAGCATATTGAATATGATCAACGTCCAGATGTCTTCAGGTATGCCTATATGCTTTTGTTATAATAAGCTTGTGCAGCAAGCATGCTCCTTGTAGAGTTAATTCCTTCAATCCTTGTAACTTTCTGTCCAATTGCTGTAGGGGAACTGTTCGATATGCTAGTGTTCATGCACATCTTGGACGAACTGCAAGTAGAAGAGATGATCTGGAATCTCTTGCTTATACTCTCATATTTCTTCATAGGGGAAGGTTGCCTTGGCAGGGATATCAGGTAATCGAGATTTGCAATACCTTTTTAATTATCTTTTGTTGCCTTTTATGTAGGCTGGCCTTTCAGTTTTGCTTTTTGTAATTTACTTGCATATGTTTCTATTTCAGGGTGAAAATAAATCATTTTTAGTCTGCAAGAAAAAAATGGGGACATCCCCTGAAGCGCTTTGTTGTTACTGTCCTCAACCTTTTAAGCAATTCCTTGAGATTGTCGTTAACATGAAATATGACGAGGAACCCAACTATTCTAAGTTAATATCTCTGTTTGAGGGGCTAATTGAACCAAATCCAGCAGTTAGACCTATCAATACTGATGGTGCTCAGAAGGTATGATTTGGATCCATGTGATTATTCCTACTTTGGCAGATACTGAAAATTTTTCTTGGGAGGGACAGAGAACAAGTGTTTATTTACCTAAAAATAAAAATATAATATTATAGAACTATAATATCAACGCACACGATACACTTTATAAGTTCCACTGGGCCTATTTGACTTTGATTGTTGAAAAGTTAAATGGGCTTTTACTTGCCAATGGGCTAATTTATTGCTCCTAGCTTATTTAGTGTTTTTAGATAGACCGGGGGTGCAATTTAAAAATAACTTTTTTTTTGGGGGGGGGGGGGAGGGGACAGGTGGTAATGTTTTCCTCAAGGCTTATCTGCAAAAAATTTCAGGGGTGCGACTGCACCCCTATACCAATTAAATCCTCCACTGTCATCCTGGATATTAGTAATATTCTTCAATCTTTCTATTATGCAGATTATTTATCAGGTTGGACAGAAAAGGGGCAGGTTGAATATTGAAGATGAAGATGATGGCCAACCGAAGAAGAAGGTTAGGTTAGGTGTTCCGGCTACCCAGTGGATTTCTGTATACAATGCCAGAACACCTATGAAACAGAGGTTGGATGTCCCTCATTTTAGTACTTCTTTTTCTTCACAGTCAAAGTGGAACTTTCATTCAGTGTTTGTGCATTCCAATTTATTGCAACCAAAATTTGAAGTATCAACAGCTACTTATATGCGAGCCATATCATATCCAATTTAGTGTGCTGATCCAATTCCTGGGGAAAATGACTGATGTCTGTGGTATTGGCTTATTACAACTTTTCCAGGCTAGTAGCCACTTGTAAGGTGGGATGCAGTTTGAAATACCAAAAGTTGATTTGATAGTGTTGTACCAAGGAGAAAAAGAAGATAAGTAGTGTTGTACCAAGAAAAAAAAGAAGATAAGTGATTAGGAAAGATTTGATTAAACTATAATGTAATGCTTTGAAAACTATGACTTTAAACGATGAAACTTTATGAAATTCCGACATAAGTACTGCTGAAGTTGATTTAGACCATAACCTTTCATGAAATTTCAAACCTTGGTCCCAACAATTTTGATATACTGTTAAGTGAATACACAACTAATTAGAATTTTGAGAATGGTAACTGTCAGACTATAAATTACAACCATCAGTCATTGCCACAATTTTAGAGTTTTGGTGCAATGGAAGGGACATTTGACATGATATCAGAACAATTTAGGTTTAATTCCCATCAGACACGAAATTAATTCGGATTATAAAAAAATGATAAATTGATACCACTACCTGAGTCCATGTTTTGATCCATAAAAGGGAGCTCACCCTGCAGAGGTATGTTAGAATATAAAATTATAACCTTCAAGTCTTCAACCCTCACCGCAATGTCAGAGTTTTGGTGCAGTAGCAGAGACATTTGATAGTATCATAGTAACGTCAAATCCTTCAATAAGATATTCAGCTCTGTTGAAGCTAGTATTGGTTTCTTTTATTGTCTCAAGTTGTGTTCATTTGGTCTAGCCACAGCCCTAGCTTTCATCTATGATCCTGTCATTCCTTGTTGCAGTCACCCATCGCTATGTCAGATGTCCGCACCACCTGAACTGTTTTCCCTTGCTTACTCTTCAGCTTGAGCTGCTACTTCTTATAGATGCACTGATCCATATTGTTTTTCTTTACTGCATCACCCGCTATCTATCTTCATACAGCAGTTATACATCTTTTTGATATTTTTCTATGTAGATCTATGTAGTAAATTTACACAGAACTAATCCTAGTAAGCACAAAATACCAGATTAAATATTATTGATATCAGTTTGTTAAAATTTAGAAAATCTGATAATATTCCACCAAATTAGAAGCACAATGCACAGTTTTCTTGACCAAAATCCAATAATTTCACCTTATTATTTAAAGAACATGAAATTATCATTATCTACAAGGGCAAAGCTGTATTCAGCTTGGGTTGGACATTGATCTAGGGAAAACTTCTAATATATGAGCGTTTATGTTCCACTATACTTACATAGTTACATGTATGGCCAATATTCCCTTTGATTTGTACCTTACCTAAAACCTCTCATCCATGAACTTCACACCTTGAATGGTGGTAAAAATATTATTTTTGTAGGATGAAACACATCAGCTCTAAAAATCACACTTGTTGTTATTAGAGCCTATTTGGAGAAAAATCCTTGCTTCACCCCTGATTATCTACATAAGTCTTTCCTCATGAAATCCTAGTTAATTAGTCCTAGTTGTCTTGAACCGTCATCCTTTCACTTATAATTTGCATAGTTATGAATCTCTCTTGCCCATGCTTATATCATCTTAACCTATTGCCCCTCATTTCATCCTTCTTGATTTAAGCTATTTCTAATTCCTTGCATATAACACTGATTTCTTATCACATCTCTTGCTGTATTGCGAGTTACCCATCCCAACATTCTGTTGCAGTTGTACTCATTTCTCAGTATGTTGTGCGTATATATATCCAGACAATAAACATAAAGATATCTTGCTAGACGCACAAGATTGCCATGTAACACATTATTTTCAAATTGATTTAAACACATTTACGTTTGGAGAAAAGAGAACAACCTTGCAGACTGCAACCTTTGTATCTTACGAAAATAGAAAAGTTTATCTTTCAAAACACATTAAATCACACCTGATGACATCATTCCTACCAAAATGAGATCAGCTATGGAGCACAAGACCCATGAGGTACTTAGCACAATTTTAGAATAAGCCAATGATTTGAGAGGGAGCCCTAGGGAAGTTTTGGATTTTCTTTTTTGTTGATTCCTTCTCCTTTTCTTTCATTTTTATTTCGTTTCTCTGTTCTTATTTTGCTGTTTCTTCTCTTCACTCTTTTTCGGGTGAGTTGGCGTTTTTATTTGGGAAAGGATGGGGGCAAGGTTGGGAGGTTTGGACCCATCCTTGCTACTGCCATATGGCCGGAAACTTTCCTTTCCTGAATCAAGAAGCATGTAGAAACTGATTTCATTTGTCTCATAGATCTCCTTTTACCTCAACATGAGCAACTTTCTTACAAAGTTTTATTTCCTTATGCCTTCATCTTAAATGATGAGTAAACTCAAGGAGCTTAACTCTGCCCATGCTACTTGCTATAGATATCACTATAATGTGGCTGATGCACGTTTGGCACAACATGTTGAGAAAGGAAATGCTGATGATTTGCGTATAAGCTGTGTTGCATCATCCACCAATCTATGGGCGCTCATTATGGATGCTGGAACTGGTTTCACCTCACAAGTTTATGAACTATCGCCATTCTTCCTTCACAAGGTATGGATTTGTGCTTACAATATTTTCTTTTTCTTCCACTTAGAATATAGCTGTAAGTAATTCAATGCTTTTGGCAGGAATGGATTACAGAACAGTGGGAGAAAAACTACTATATCAGTGCAATTGCTGGTGCAGATAATGGAAGTTCTCTAGTAGTGATGTCCAAAGGTTAATTTTAGTATTCTCTTTTTTACTCTTTTTGATGAACAAGTTTGCTTGTGAAGTTATCAACATTTCAGCCAATAAAGCCCCCTTCCCCCTCCCTCTCCCCTCCTTCACATGCACAATCACGTGCACACTCCATCTGACAGGGACAAAAGCACGTGCACACACATGTGGAGATACTGGTAAGAGCTGGGAGTTCCTTTAGCAAAATGAATTACGAAGAGATAAGATGGTTTGATGTTTACCTGCTTAGATGTTAAGTAGGATGAGCCTTACCACTAGTCTCTCTTGGTAGCTCATTTTGTAATATGAGCTGCCACCTTGTATTCTTTTTTTCATATACTTACACTTGAAAATCTGCAAAATCTGTAGTCAATTGACAGCACACATTTAAATTTTGAAAAATGAGGTGTCGTTGTTATCATCTTCTATCTTTATGCCAACTCTTTTTCAGTTTAGGGAACTCAAAAACAATTGGACCTTGCATTTTTAGGATGTATGGTGGGCCCTTTCTTATAGTTTCCTGGAGCAAACCAAAAATTTCACATCATCTAATGATGATCTCTAGAGATTCTTCAGTACATATTGTAATTTGTATAATTCTTCATTGTTTACATTTGCCTTCTGCTATGTATGTTGAATTAATAGTTTATTCCATATTTTTTATTATTTCTAATTTCTTTTTAATTGGAGAAATTATCATTTTAGGCACCCAGTTTACACAACAGTCCTACAAAGTTGGTGATTCTTTCCCTTATAAATGGATAAGCAAAAAATGGAGAGAAGGATATCATGTCACATCGATGGCCACTGCTGGAAGCCGATGGGCTATAGTAATGTCCAGAAATGCTGGCTTTCGTGATCAGGTTAGACGTTGAACTCTGCCGCTAAGGGCTAGATATATGAGTATTTGTTAGCTATCAGCTTAAAAATTCCCAACTAATGATTGCTTATCCTCCACAAGATTGGCAGACAACGGTTTTGTTTTTCATATCGATAATACCACACTAAAGTTAAACATCATAAGGGCTATTCATTAGCTATCAGCTAAATATCAACTCCATCTCGATTAGTTGCTAATTTCTACCCATTAAAGTGATTATTATAAGATTCATCGTTGCCTTGAAAACATTCACTTAGACAGTAGATGGACTGCCCATATTTTGCACTCGGTTGGCATTATGGGCGGATCTATGTGGTGCTCATAAAGGGCAATTGCTCCCCTAAAAGTTCTAATAATTATCATTTCAGCCCTTGCAAAATTAAAATGTCACCAATTTTTAAACTATTCGCATGTTCAGTCCTTGTATACTCACAAAGAATTTGATAGCCCTTTTAGATTTAACTCATTTGAAAATAGTAGCTCATTTAACTGCTCAAATGATCAAATCACATAGGTCCAAACACTAAAAGCCCAAACAAACACTAAAACCTCAAGCCCTTTACCAAACTCTCTATTCGCTTCCGCCCTCTCAAGACAATTTTTTAGATCTGCCACTGGCCGGCATCGGCATAATGGTATTTTCACATTGAATTATTTGTATAACTAGTTCTCCGGTTATTATTTTACAGGAAAACCAATTATTTATTGTGAAGATTAGGAACTTTGATTCCTTCTTCCTTTTCTCAACTCTTGTGCAACTCATTGACTTATTAAAATTTCTCCTATATATTGTTGAAAAGCCGCTTGGTCAGCTCTATGGCATAAATGACCTTTTAATTGGGACCCATCTGTTTAATTGGGACCCATCTGAATCTACTATGATGGAGCAGTTGTTCTTGAATTTAGTTAGCTAGAAAAAACATCCGAATGGATCGGAAGGAATATACTCCCTTGCGTCTGACACAAGTAATATTGTTGAAAAGCCGCTTGGTCAGCTCTATGGCATAAATGACCTTTTAATTGGGACCCATCTGAATCTACTATGATGGAGCAGTTGTTCTTGAATTTAGTTAGCTAGAAAAAACATCCGAATGGATCGGAAGGAATATTCTCCCTTGCGTCTGACACAAGTAAGCTATGCGTAGGTGCAAATATATATCCATATAAAAGGGACCTAAATTTCACCACCATCAAATACTATTGGAGCTGATAGTAGTTGTCACTTGCCAATAAACACTAAATCTTATGGTTGTCAAGCATACATGTGTTGTTATTTCTTACCATCTATAGCACATGAGCCTGTGAATTCAACTTATAAGACTCATTTAAGCACCAAGGGTATGGGTTTGTTTCACCAACTGTATTCATTTATTCTAACTGAATCACAAATTCTCTTGGTTTTAATTATTCCTGTTTTCCCAGGTTTCTCTTGGTTTTAATTATTCCTGTTTTCCCAGGTTGTGGAACTAGACTTCTTATATCCGAGTGAGGGAATCCACAGGCGATGGGATGGTGGTTATCGGATCACATCAATGGCTGCTACAGCAGATCAGGCTGCTTTAATTCTTAGTGTACCAAAACGTAAAATTGGAGATGAGACTCAGGAGACTCTCAGGACCTCAGCATTCCCAACTCAACATGTTAAGGTGCCTTTTTTTTCTCTTTTCCTTTAGACTTATCATCTACAACCATTTGAACTTTATAAATCATATTGTTAACAAGTAGAGTAAAAAGTTTAAACTGCCTCTTTTAATTTTCTTACCTACTTTTATGCGAGAAGGGTAACTTAAAAAGTTATATTTAGCAACTAGGGATATGATTGACCAAAAGGAGCAGGTGACAACTCCATTAACTGCAGGTAGTCCTCAGCTTAGTACCGATACTTAAGTGAGTGACACATGTTCAAGGGAGTTTCTATGATTTATAAAGTTCGGGAGGGGTTTTACACAACCCCAAAATTCAGTGGGGTTTTTGTGAAATTACCCTTATATTTCTCTTCCATTTATCCATCCTTTCCATATGATATCACCAGCTCACTCTCTCCTGTTAGCAAATGCAAACTCTTGGATCTGTCTCGGAAGGAAACAAATACAAGGGGATGGCTGTACTATTCACATACTATACCTGGTGTTGTGCTGTGTTCTGTTCAGTTGCCAAGCTGTCTACTTTGTAGGCATCTGTAGAAACTTCCCAGATTTAAAATCCTAAAGCACATGCCAAAATTGGATGTTATGTAGCTCCTAAAATCTCTTCCTCACTGATGTGCTGCTATATCTGCACTGCTGCAAAATCACCACTATAATAGTCTTCTTTCATCATTAAGGTTGGTAGGGTACATATGTTATGCATGAGGAAGAACAAAGTAACCCCCTTGTTACAACAACAAGAAGAACAACAAATGAAGATTTTTATCCAAGATTTGCAAGTTAAACTATTACCATTTCTTCGTTAATTGCTTCCAACCAAGTTCTCAGCCTACCTCTAATATACTTTTTGAAAACAATACAGAAAATAAACGAACTTGGAAATTAAATTTAAAGTTTAGTACTGGTCTATTTTTTTTGACTAGTTACTTTCGTTTGAGCGTATATAATTCCTGGAATCATTTTTTCTGTTTTATTCTTGGATCAGGACAAATGGGCAAAGAATCTCTATCTTGCTTCAGTGTGCTATGGTCGCACTGTATCTTGATTTTTAAAGAGTTGGGTGAAAGCCGAAGCTGTTTGTTGTATCGATTGTGTTTGTTATTTTGTATATCTTTCTTGTAGAGAAAGGCGAAAGAAAGAAAATAGCTGACGGTACAGGTCAGTGTTGTTTTTATATAATATAGTGCAAGCTTTAATACACCGTGAAAGGTTTTTATTCTGAACTCCTCCAACTTTTAGTATTTGTAAATAAACCCATGTCTGTAGCTTTATGCTTTCGCTTAATGTTGGTAAAATGTTAGCAGAATTGTTCTAAGAAAACATTGAGCCTGAAACAGGATTCTGCTGTTCAGAATTCGGAAGTTAAGAAGATGGCGAAATTTTAGTTGCTTTTTTTTATCCTTATTTCAGTTATTACTTCCATATCAAGCTCTTTTTAATTGTTTACGTTGCTAATACTATGCTACCTTAATTATCTTTTGTTATTGATGTTCTGGATCTCCCGAAATTGTCAAAAGTCTAAAATTATGTTTTAACATTCAATTACAAATAGCTTGTATAGTGAGAGAAACAGAACCCACCAATCTAAAGTCAATATTTTTCTTATTTCCTTCTTCGATTATTAAGTCATGATAAGAAAGTTGCAAATAACGTAACAAATTAATAAAGAGGCTCTCAGGCGGTCGATTTGGATTGGATCTATATAGCTATGTGATGTCAAACCAACAAGAAAGTGAACAATTTGCAAGACCTAGTCTTTATTTGATTAAGGCCGATTAATATTTCAGGCCTTACCTAATCTATGAAATACATGAACATCAATTGGTATTCAGGGTGGTAAACGATTGAATCAAATCAAATGCTAAGTTGTTCGTATTTGTATTTGTTTAAATTATCGAATTCGAATGCGAACTCTATTATTTATATTTAGAGTTTTTCGAATTCGAACTTGAATACTTGGTATCAGATAAATATATATTCATGGATACTTATCGAATATCAAAGTATATTAATTTTGCTAAATAATTTAATTTTTAAATACTATTTAAATCATAATTGAAAATTATTCCTTTGTACTGTATGATGTATATATATTTATTTATCAAATTTTTTATTAGAAAACATATTTAATATTATTTAAGTCTTAAAATTAGTACATAAAAAAAAATGGTAAGTGGCTTAAAAATATGACATCATATGTGCAATAATACAAATAGTAAATGATTAATTCTAAACGATTCGAATATTCATATGGTTAGATTTTATTTGCTGGTAAACTCGAATACAAAGTAATATTTATTTAGTAGTAAATGACTATTGAATCGAATATGATTGAATAGTAACTTATACAATAATCGAACTATTTGTCAATTGTTTGGTTCATTTCCACCACTATTGATATTTAATTTGCATCTAATCCAGACAGTCTCTACCAGGTGCAAGCCTACTAAAGCTTTTTTTTCTTTTTGGTGGTGGTGTTTTTTTTTGGGTTTGGGGTGGGGGGTGGGGTTGGGGGTGTTGAAGAAAATTGTCTTTGAAACTTTTTTCTTTGTAATGAAAGTTTAGATAATTCTATTACCAAATAAGCTGTCTGTACAAACTCCATATTTAGACACCTTTCACAAAACGAAACTTTGCTATTTACAAGTCATTAAACACCTCACCACACTTAATCAAAATAGAAAACCTCCAGCTCCATGGAAGAAATAGCTCTATCAAAGACATTCAAACACAAGTAAAACACCAAAAACGGAGAACCTGCACAATCAAGCTCTTAGTACTCTGCTAACAGGGGTAGATGCAAAAATGTTGGCATCCGCTTCTACTACTCGCTGCACCCCCCATGAACTGAATCCTGCTTAATTGAATCTCTAAGAAGAAGGTAATAATCTCTTTAATAGTATTTTTCACATTTGGTTTTATACTTCTAAAAATCAAATAGTTCCTTGCCTGCCAAACAAAATAGACTGATGCCCCCAACGCACTACGATGAATTTCAGCGAAAGCCCCAGTCCCGGTCCAATTCTTTGCCGTTCAAGGAACTAACTCACCACATCGCCAAGTCAGTTGATCCATCATCACAAATTTAACAACACCAAACCAATCCTCTCTACCAAACCGACACTCGAAGAGTAAGTGTTATTTAGTTTCAGTTGCATTTGAACACAAAGAGAAAGTAGGATCTATATCTAAACCTCTGTTCTCAAAAAGATTTTCGACATAATGCTATCATGGGAAGTTAAGGATAGAAGGATTTTATGACACAATTTATACCAAACTAGCAGTTTAGGTTAAAGTTTATATACTGAAATCAAAAGAATAGTAGACGGAATGTCAAAGTCACCAGCATTTCATATCTCTAAAAAACCACATACATTGAACATTACACTTATAGAAAATATACCTTCAGATAGAAATAGAGCTACAATACGAGCTCTATGTCTTGCACAATCCTTTTGATTGATTGAAACCGGTTGACCAGAAACGAGACTGAACATGTATGACATCAAGAACACCCCACAATCTAGGCTACTACAAGTACACATATTGTAAGTACAAATATAAAATTTTGACCCGCAATATATAATTTCTATGTGTCAGCACATACAGAAAAACAAGAACATATGAATAAGTTGAATACACTAACCTACGTTGTTGAGGTACATCAACACTTTCTATCTCATGACAAGATCTAATATGCAAATTTCAATCATTTGGAATGGAGGACATAAGCTTCACTCTAAAATCTATAGCATCAGACATGTATCCGTGGAGAGAAAAGTAATGATAAAACCTTCTATCCTTTACAGATAATACCAACATATGCCAATGAAATGAAGTTAGAAGTGGGAAAATAATTTTATCAAGTTCAAGGAAACGTGTAGTTGTTATTGGCTTAAACATGCGTTCGACATTGGACGGATTATTTTCGTTCATGCATCTCTATAAAAAACAAAGGATAATTTTTAGTATTTAAGATAATATATGAATAATACTTATAATCTCCAATCGGATTTCTACTTACAGTTTCCCATGGACTACAGATGTGTATGTCCTTTGCATACTTTGGACGCATCTCCATCAACATATTTAGAAGCACAACATAGGAGACTATAACTTGAAATGTACATAATAAAATTGTAAACATTTGTGTTATATACTACGCGTGCATTGTGTGAAGCAAGAAAAAAACGGTTACTTACATCGCAACTAATTACATTTCCTTTAAGTAATTCCAATGCATCCTTATGAGTTAACAAAGCATCACTAGATGACCACACTAAGTCTCCCTACATATGAAAAAACTTAGAAAATGTGTTAATGAAAACACTACAAAAGTCATAAAATAGGTCATTCAAAATTCCTTACATGGTCATATTTTCGTCCTTCCAAAAGTTATCGAGTAGTTCCCTCTCACTATCCCTTACTTCCTTCATTCTCGGATAATTTGGTACTCATTTTCGATTAGCAAGCGGGACAAAAGGTGAACGCATAGATGGTCCAGCAAGCCGAGATCTCGGCAGAACTGTTCTTTTGATGGAAGGGGTTTTACGCTTGCCTTCCATCACCAGAATATCGCGCGGGCTAAGAACAAAGGTGTTATCATCCACTTCTATTGAAACCATGTCCACTTCGTCATTTGCGCCATCTCCACCATCATCTTTATCTACATTCAATGTATCAACTTCTCCATCACCACCAATCTCCGTATCTCCACCAACCCCCGCATCTCCACCGACATCCTCATCCACATCTCCACCATCCCTCTCATCTCCTACTCCATCATCATTTTCACCTTCGCCTACATCTCTATCATCCTCCTCATTCCCGCCATCCTCATCGCCATCATCACTATCATCCTCGTCATCCATATCATCTTCATCTCCTTCATCACTACCAACATCCTCTTGCTTTCCACCAAATATTTCCCTCTTCATCTTCAAGAGAAGGTCTAATTCCACTTTTTTCATGTATGAGCCGATCCAAATCAGCTTCAGTGATTCCCTACATATAAATAACCCAAGTACAATTAAATTCATGGATGAATATCAAATATAAATCATTTTGTAAAAGCTACCGATTTTAGAAAATGTTATAATGTATACAAGTCACGGAGCTATTAACTAACATGGAATAAAAATATGTAGAGAAACCTAAGCATGATAATTAGAAAAGTAATACTAGTTCTCATGTCTTGAATCAATCAAACAAAAGCATAGAGAATACACCAACATCCAATAATAAGTTCCATTTTAGTGAAAAACACATTAAAAAACTAATTGATCCCAGATAATAATTGAAAAGCAACATTAGTTCCCAAGGCACTTGTTTAAATTAACCATTATACATTTCCTTGAATTTTATAGGGGCAACTTCTGTAGTGGCAGTGACAGCTTCAGTAATCCTCTTTTCAAATGTTAGAGCCCTCGAGTATTTATCATACTTCCTAAAATTAACCGGATCTCTAACTAAATCCTGCACTGCATTCCTCCGTAAACATTTCAGACACTTATAGAAGCTTAGGATGGATGGTAGGGGTTTAGCTCCTACGCGAAGGCTCAACTTTCCCTCAAACTCATAAAACCAAATCTGTAAAACGATGAAAAATTTAGTGCAACATTAAATATGACCGAATGACATAACTATATAAAATGGAAAATAACATAAATATATAAAAGGTTAACTTACCACCAAAATTGAGGCAAAACCCCTCATATAACCACCAGTAGATCGATTTCCCTCGGACCTCTTAGTGTTAGTCTTCTTAGCCTTATTCATCTCAGTCCGCAACACATTATACACCACTTCAGCTTAATTGTACTCCTTAAAAGTGTCCAATTTCTCAGCATATTAAAATGCAAATAAAGGACAACTCATATTAGCTTGAGGCCATAATATAAAGCCTATAATGAAAGCCACGAGCATCTGTGGCAAAAGAGATCTCTACGCTCGGCCATCTCCTCAATAAGTTCACCCATCCTATCCCTTTTAGCACACACAATCTTCTTCTTTCCCTCATCACTTTTCTTCTTTCCTCTTCTAGTCCTACACTTCATATCCTCCTCAATTTCTGCCTTTGTCCTAAATGAAAGCACGAGCTTGTAGATTGTCTTACGATCACTTCTATGGAACCTCGTATCTATTATAGATCCTCCCATCGGAAGACCCGTAATTCTCCCAACATCTTCAACACCAAAGGAGGTCCATTTTCCTCCAATTTTAAAACTACTTTTTTCAACATCAAATACTTTCAACAAACAATCCACTACAAGTGGTTGCATTGGAACATCAGGAACATCCAAATAGCCATAGAATGACGTATCTTGAAGGGCTGTTCGATGATCCTCTGACAATGTAGAAGAAATACAATTTTGAAGAAGGTCCCGGAAGTAGCCAAC